CACCAATGGTTTGCTCCCCTCTGTGATCACGGCGGTCAATTCCTAAGGTAAAGTTTCCAATTCTACGGAAGGGTATCAGGTAAACGGGGTTTCCATGGAGCCTGTCTCAACGGTAAACATTTTGTTAAGCAGTAATTAACAGTTTCACGGGGAATTCCTTGTCTAAATGTGATAAAATCCGCACTGCGTATACCTCAAATGTTGTTGTTTTTATTACAATGCTTAAATGTGTATGGAATCACATCGACGTCAATAACTAAACAACTGATTTAAATCGACCCCAAATCTCACAGAAAACCTCACATTTTTCCATTTTATATTTTTAGGTTTGAGATAGAAATTAAGATTTGAGTCGAAAAAGTTTCTTTATTCCAAAGTTAAAGTGTTGCTAAGGTCACCAAAAATGCACTTTTTCAACTTCCAAGACCGATAATTCCAGAATGCCGCCATCTTTAAAAAAATCCGTCCGACACAGATCGAAATTTTTGCTTTGTCTCCAATTTAAAACGTTTTTGAGGAAAATTAAATTTGTTTTGTTGCGGTTGAAATACCATGTTTGCACTCATGACATGTCTTGTGAGTAAGTGTAGGGGTAACTTATATCCTCGTAAACAACCATTACGATCGTCAAGGTCACACACGATGACGGCAGTAGCTTTGTTACATGTTACATATTCACTATAAAACATGGCATAGATATACTGGCCCGAAATCGGTTTATATTTGTGAGAAGGTGAATTCTTTACTGTTCGGCGGTACCCGTGTAAAAACGGGCTTGAAGTCGCGGGTTTACTGTACATGATCGCGGGTGACCCCGGATCGATTGAACCGTCATATCGAACATGATTCTGTTCGAATGACGTCATACAGAACAAGATTCTGTTCGAAAAAAAGGTTGGAATATTTGGGCCCATATTTGACCATCGTGGATGAAAACATGGTCATACTCACTCTTACCATCACGCTTTGTTTGATAATGCCCCCTACCGACATATCTTGTTAACCACAACTGAGTCAGACTTGAACTCCTTCATCCAAAGCTTTAAGTATCTTAAATCGTGACACAGGCGAGGTTCTGACGGTTCTACCGTTAGTGGTAAGACCAAATAAATCCAACGCTTCCCTCTTTCCCCATATTGTCACCGCCCCTGTTCAAATTCTAGCTCGAATGGAGTCTGCCACAAATTCTGTGAACAGTTCGCAACTTGCGAGGTTCAATAAGTACAGGGGGGTGGGAATGTTACCTTTGTGTACGACTTTCCTTTAAATTTTCCCAAAAAAGGCCGAATATAGTCGTACAGCGACACGCCATACCTTATCCAGTTTCTTACCATCTGGAAAGAACTACTAAGTATATTCTCCAAGTACTGCATACCATTTTCTGACATGATTATGGATTTCCCCTACTCCGAACGTGTCAGGATCTCTAAACAGTAAGGACTCCGCCGATGCTTTCAACTTTCCTGCCGCGACGTCCAAGATACACGGGGAGACTAAAGCTTTCTTAGTTTTATCCTTAGTCACCCAATGTACCTCTCGTACTAAATATTTACGATAGGCTTCGAACAGGTCAAATGGATGACGTAGCTCGAATTCTTTGATGAGTGGTGAAGTCTCAGCGCCCATCTGTAATAAATAAAGCTATAGTCACCAGTTGCACCTTACTCTCTGACTATCCTGTATTCTACCAGCCCACAATAGCCCCATCTAGAGCTGTTGCTGGGTTGACCAGTGCAAACTGAGACGGATATCTATCCACACCAGTAAACCTTTATAATAATATATACTTTCCTTATCTAGGCACTACCCAAAACTGCTGTAGTCAACGGTGTGCGATTCAAAGAATCAAAAAAGACAAAAGATGCTGCATACTATCATCTTAATTTGCTTTACTACTGGGTCCCCTAAGATGCCCGAGATCAAGTCCTTAAACAACTCCTTCTCCGCCAGTGGTCTAAGCTGTTGCAACATGGCTGCATATTTTCCTACTTTCGCGTGATTTTCCTGTTTCGCCGTTACGGACAGCGTCTCCAGAAGACCCGGCGCTCTCCTCCCGTTGAATGAAGAGGAAGGCCTCGATGCCAGTTGGACCAGCTCCTGTCGAATACTCTACCGAACTTCTCCTGAGCCGCTCCATCTCCGCTTTCATGGTAGAGGACTCATTTCTCAACTGTTCGAACTCCTGAAGCATAGGGCTTGGTTCTTTGCTTAGCACCTATCACTTTACCTGCGCTGCACATACATGACCAAGATGTCTAGCTTAACATTTCTATTGCCCACCCTCCGACGGCAAAAGAGTCTGTTCACATCGTACCCCTTTACGACCAGTACCTACTATAATAAGAAACCATGACAGAACACAGATATTTGACGGCAAATGCAGGTTTATTCAGACAAATCAAACATGACCAAACGATCTCTTAACTTACTCATCCTTAATCTAATTTATTGATGTTCAAGGAAAATGTGGCTATAATGTTTTTATGGTTTAAAAAAATGCTAATATTGGTGATCACTACGCAAAAGAGGTCATACAGTAAGGGATACATGTAGCTGTAAATTGTTGGTCAAACAAAAATCAAACCTTAAGCTTACGGTGGACATGTGATGGCGTCTTACTAAGTGCAGCACTAGGTCCGGAAATAAACAACATGGCAGATTGTTCTTTGTCCTTCTCAATAAGCCAGTTCATGGATGGAACTGCGTATGCATGATGTCAAAGATGGACATGGGACATGCGCAGTTTAATCCGTGACTCGCTGTAGTATTATGGATAAACAAGCATCTCGGCTGAAACACTGGCACTGCGCCTGCGCTAAACCTTGATGCTTCCGTTTAATGTTTGGTCAGCAAATAATGTTTCCTTTGCAGACGAATTCAAAAATTCATTAAAATACTACAGACGGGATGGTTTCTTTACATATGCAAATACGACCTTAACTTAGACGCTTTGCCAAGGTGTTATGCACAATACATTACAGGTTTGGCGCAGGCGCAGTAAGTTCTGCTGACGTGCTGAATGAACATATGTTAACCAGACGTTGGCTTGCTTAACATAACCGGAAGTTGCTGTTGACCAACAACTGCTTACCGATATTCAAGTATAACCAGTGAATTATTTTAATAATGGTTTTGGATTGATGCGAATCGATTTTATGCCATCTTGAACATATTTTACTTCATATTCATCAATATCTTAACTCATACTTTACTTTCTTTTAAAACAAATAATATCTTGGGTATATATAATCCTTATCAGGTGCATAATACCGGTATCTCAACCATCAACATGTTTCAACTGAAGTTGTTGTTGCATTCAATTTGGAATGAACAAAAAGGCTTTCTTAGTCTGACAGTTACCTTTTGTACATGTTAACCAACATACTTGTCATGTTATGATTCCGTAATTATGATGGTTGAAACACAAGTAGGCCTGAGTGCTACAAACGGGCAACATGGTGACGGGATATCAGACAACTGTCATCATTGAGTAACCATGATGCCAACTAGTACGTAATTCATAACTAATGAATTGATTAGATTAAGTGATAAAAATGGATTAAAAACACTCTAAAACCCGTGCCATAACAAGGTAATCACACCATCGAATAGCGTAAGCTGGTTCCTGGTTTAAAATGCGCATGTGCAGTGTAATAAGTTGATGGCTTTTGACACATAACAAAACACTCTCGGATTTGGTGTAGACAAGAACTGATTACAAGTTACGTCGATGAAAGTAAGATATCCAAATACACACAAAAACAGTTAATCAGTGACTGAAAACAAAATCAGAGGATGCTACTGGAATAGACTGACAGTTTTCAAAACTATCCAGTTGCTTGCGAAACTGCTTAATTGTGTGAAACAAAGTTTTTGATTCGCAGCCACTTTTAAACAATTACATCTAAACGTCGACTCTTGTTAATTAAAAAAATGGTTGTATATGAATAATTTTGCTATTCATTCAGTGACCACCTGGATTAAATTCACGATTATATGCATTTCTGTTATTAGGTTAGTGGTCTTCAACTTTAACCTCGTGCATGCGCAGTTCAAACCATGAACAGAATTATTGTTTACATACATGTAGTTCACGGCCATGTTGTAAATAGGAACGCCGCAACAAAATAACCAAGGTATGAACCTGCTACGACCGGGTGCCTATTGTACAAGGTATTTTCGTATATTCTTAAGTTTTTCTACATACAATGCGGGGACATGTTAAACACGTTCGCATAAATGAAATTTATAGTCTGTTTCTTTGATGCGTTTTATCGGTAGTAACTTTGGATACAATTTATAGCCAGAATTGTTAAATTGTCTAAACGTTAAGTAAGTCCACTTCAAAAATGCTTCAGTTAGTAAATAATCAGAAAAATGTTTGTGCATGGTTGTCCCGACATTGTATTGCAGATGCCGTCGTACCAATTGAATCTGAAACAACCCAACTTTTCCTGACATAAGGCTTTGTCATCATATTTTGGTTTTTTAAAAGCAGACAATTACTGAACATTCATGTACAATGTATGTATGTTGGCTATTGTTTTCAGCTTGAATATCATCATTTTGGAGAAAGGAACTGACAATACTTTGTTCATTTTGTGTGATTCAAATTAAGTCAAACACGATACTTCTTTAAACCGTGATTTCAACATCTTCTAGGGCTTTTGCTTTAGTCTCGAAACTTGAAAAAAAGACGCTATTTGTACATAGGGAAAAATAGGTGAACGTTTACTCTGGTGAAGTCATGGACCAAAGGTTGTATCAAACTCAAATGGCTTATATATAATTACTACATTCTACATTATCTCATTTCTAGGATACCAACTCAGTGATGTTTCTTTACCAATTAAACGACGTCTGCAAAAAAAATGGAGATTGCAGATGGAAAATAAAAATCTTGTTCGTTCTCAAATTGAGCAAAAAATAAATTTTGAAAGACATTGGATCCTTTACCCTAGAAATGAGATAAACGAGTCAGCGGCCCTTACTGAATTTCACACGAGTTGCTTCAGTCTTGAAAGTTGAAGAACTTGGCAGATGTCCTACACGCCTGCAGAAAGGAGAACAAAATGGAACGTCAGAAACCTTATTTTTTAAGGAACTTTAAAGCAATCGGGACAAGTAGGATACATATGACCTTCAAAACTGCTAAACACAACGAAACAAAGCCGTGTGAGGGACAAAGCTGTACAAGTATAATTTTTGTAAAACTCGGAGACATTAACTGTGAATGTGAACTCCCCAAGAGAGGCGTGCATGTGATGAAAAGAAAGGAAAAGGGATTCGAGTCAAATATCGGGACAGTTATTACGGTGGAAGGGGCGACATGATCGTTGTGTACACAGTTGACTTTTTTTCTTTTATATCTGCACAAGAGTCAGATACCACTTATAACGGAGGACAATTTACCACTTCTGTATACTGCTTAAAAACTAGTTTGCAGCTTAAGAATGACGAAATCGCCTCACGACTCTCCCCTAGTCTTTAGCAGCAGTCTGAGAAGTTCTCTGCCAATAGACTGAATGACTCTGACTAATTTCTGACTACTTGTGAGATATAACATTTGCTCACCCGCATACTCAGCGAAAAATCCTTGACCGTTTACTGAAACGTCGGAGACGAAGACAAGGTGCATGGTCCTCCCACTGGCCACGACCGGCGACGGAATTGTGCTGCCGCAGAATTTGCCGAGCTGTTTGTCGCTGGAGGTGGGGCCGTCATACACCGCCAGGTAGTCGTACGTGCAGCTTTGAGATGCCTCTATGTCCAAACCTGTAAACCTGCAAGAGGTTAACGTTCAACATCAGTGGAACATAACAGAAGGCTTGCCATGATTATCGTGAAATAATCATATGATGCTGCTGCTTGCATGGGAAAATAGCCAAAATTACGTAAGGTCATGTTGATCTCATTATGCGGATGACATCCGCGTGCGCATGAATTTTTCGGCCGTTTCCGAACAAAAAAAGTTTTCAACCATACTCAATAGTACAAAACAGTTTCAAAATGACCAAAAATACACCACAAGTTGCAAAAAAATGGTTATACAATGCGAAAATCAAAAAAAAAAGACGAAAATGTAAAGAAATAAATTTAAAGACAACATCATTCGCCATGCTTTACTCTGTGTCACTTGTTCAACCTTCATAACCACGAAAATTTCATAACGAAAGCAACTTTTCTTTAAACTTTTTTTTATTCGCACTAGTTTAGGAATTTCCGAAGGATGTCATTCATAATTATAGTCAAATCAACATGGCCTAAATGGAATAAAATGAACAATCAGTAATATTGCTACTTTCTGCTAGGTTTGTGACTTTACGTACTACGGGGGCAATTGTCTCCATATGCCACTGGTTTATGAATGGTTCTTATTGTCCAAACATTACCCGTGCAGTCGCAGCCTTTAAACGGCTGAATTGATGCAGGGTATCACATAATAATCAATACAAATAACAACAATCAAATAATACACGACACACATATTTGCTCCACAGATTTTTTTGTGGTTCAAAAACAAACTGGCTAAGGTTTACATATAACCACCAAACAGAGCACGTACCTTTAATTTAAAACTGCAACATAAACAGCACTAAAACGGCCATGAGACTAACTTCAAAGGTCTAAAAAAAGCGTAAGGACTTACCTGATGGTGGCCCTTCCCCTGCTGACAGTTATCGTCCAGGAACACCGGAGGTTGCCGTTGTACCTGCCCGGGTATCCAGGGGAGGTGATTGTACCGGAGTCTCCGCTCAGTATGGCAGGATCCAGACAGCCGGAGTACTGAGCTGAGGTAAATAGAAGGTGAAAATATAGTCATGATTACAGCTAGCACATATGCCGAGATGCCACAGCAAGAAGAAGTAAAATTGGAATAAACTTGGGTCCGGACACATGAGAACATTGTCAGTGAAAAATGCTGTAGGGTTTTACTGAAATAAAAGTACGCAAGTATTTAATGAAAGAACCATGAGCAGAGTTGGTTCTCATTTGGTCCACTTCTGTGCGTGTGCTCGCGCAGATTTGTGAATGTGTGCGTGCGCCTACGCGTGCGTGTGATGGATGTGTATGTGGCTTTGTATGTGTAGGCGAATGTGTATGTGCATATGTATGTGTATGGCTATATGGCTATGTTTATATGTATGTGTATGTATAATTGTGTCACGGTGTGTGTGTGCGTGTAAGTGTGTAAGGGCATGTGTATGTCTTTGTGAACGGATATATATCTATAGGAATGCGTGTATGCGTACGGGTATGTATGTGTTCACTTATGCATTTGTGCATATGCATGTTTTTTCCTCATTACTAACCTAGAAAACGCTCTACAAAATTGTAACAAGTACCTAAAGCATAAAGAACAATAATTATGAGACTTCTTACCTCCATGAAATATGTAGAGTTTATGTAAATGATTTGTTTCACTGACTGCAAATGTGCGGAAACACAAACACACAGACACACACACACACACACACAGACGCGCAAAAAACAATACCTCCATTTTCATTGGTAATAAGACTAGGTACATGTGCAACCAAAAGGACGTGAACAGAGAGAGTCTTTATCCTCCTTGACACGACTATATATTTGCACTCACGGGAGCAGGAAGTGGAGCCCCGGATACTTCCAGTCCCAGTCGGGCATTGCTGACAGCTGATGGACCCAGTGGTGTTGCTGAACTGCCCCGCCGGACAGGACTGACAGCTGGACGAGCTGTACTGCGGGCTGAACTGTCCTGCTGGACACGGCTGACACGCTGTGCTCGCGGAGCCGCTGTACTGTCCCGCTGGGCACGGGTCGCAGTCCGTCCCCTCGGCGTTACTGTAGGTCCCCGCCGGGCAGATCTCGTCCACCTGGTCTCCGTTGACGCACCTGTACCCAGACCGGCAGGCTTGACAGATGAAGGTTCCGTCCGATGTCCTTGGCACGACCTTCTGCCCGGGGGTACAGCCGGACGTGCAGGTCCCGTTGTTTGAAACGCAGTGAAAATTTCGCAACCCTAAAATGAGATAAACAAGTGAACAATCAGCGGCCCATACTGAATCTTGCACGAGTTGCTTCAGTCTTGAAGAACGCAGGTCCAACTCGCCTGCAGAAAGGACAAAATATTGGAGGTGGAGACCATTTATTGGAGAACCACAGCTGGTAGGTTTAAGCAGAGTCTGTAACATTTAATCTTACATACTACTAATTACATACGACGGAATTCGTAACTAGTAGAACGAACGCTCTGACTGAACAGAATTTCTGACTGTTTGTTGGACGTAAAAATTGCTCACCCGTATACTTAACGGAAAATCCTGTGCGGCGTATTGCAACGTCGGAGGTGAAGACAAGGTGCATGGTCCTCCCACTGGCCACGACCGGCGACGGAATTGTGCTGTCGCAGAATTTGCCGAGCTGTTTGTCGCTGGAGGTGGGGCCGTCATACACCGCCAGGTAGTCGTACATGCAGCTTTGAGATGCCTCTATGTCCAAACCTGTAAACCTGCAAGAGGTTAACATTCAACATCAGTAGAACATAACAGAAGGCTTGCTATGATTATCGTGAAATAATCATATGATGTTGCTGCTTGCATGGGAAAATAGCCAAAATTACGTAAGGTCATGTTGATCTCATTAAGCGGATGACATCCGCGTGGGCATGAATTTTTCGGCCGTTTCCAAACAAAAAAAGTTTTCAACCATACTCAATAGTACAAAACAGTTTCAAGATGACCAAAAATACACCACAAGTTGCAAAAAAATGGTTATACAATGCGAAAATCAAACGAAAAAGACGAAAATGTAAAGAAATAAATTTAAAGACAAGATCATTCGCCATGCTTTACTCTGTGTCACTTGTTCAACCTTCATATTATTGCTTCATTCTCTTTGCTTCATAACCACGAAGATTTCGTAACTTTTCTTTAAACTTTTTTTTATTCGCACTAGTTTAGGAATTTCCGAAGGATGTCATTCATAATTATAGTCAAATCAACATGGCTTAAATAAAATAAAATGAACAATCAGTAATATTGCTACGTTCTGCTAGTTTGTGACTTTACGTACTACGGGGGCAATTAAAAGACATGTATTTTCAATCTTCCACAATGGAGATGCGTAACAACAACAAGCTAAGAACATATAAATTATTAAAAAACGCTTACCTCGAGGAGGATTATCTAAAGATTTCTAACATCAAACACAGAACAGCCATCACGAAACTCCGGATTAGCTCTCACAAACTCCACATAGAAAAAGGCAGACACAACCACATTCCCTTGCAGCAAAGAATTTGCCGATATTGTGATTTAGATAAGATAGAAGACGAGTGTCATTTTGTTGTAGATTGCTCTTTATACAATAGCGAGCGAAATATTCTTTTTAACTGTATTCAAAATAAGTTTCCTGGTTTTAAATATTTGAATAGTTTAGACAAATTTATATATCTTATGAAATTAGACAATCCGTGTTTTGTAAGTTCTATATGTTCATTCATCTACGATTTTTTTAAGAAGCGAGAAGAAGTCGATCCTGTAAACAATAGTATTATTTAGTTTGTCTTCATGACCTGTACTTAGCTCGAAAGAGCATAAATTTGCAATAAAGGTCTTTCATTCATTCATTGTCTCCATACGCCATTGGTTTATGAATGGTTCTTATTGTCCAAACTTTACCCGTGCAGTCGCAGCCTTTAAACGGCTGAATTGATGCAGGGTATCACATAATAATCAATACAAATAACAACAATCAAATAATACACGACACACATATTTGCTCCACAGATTTTTTTGTGGTTCAAAAACAAACTGGCTAAGGTTTACATATAACCACCAAACAGAGCACGTACCTTTCTTTAACTTAAAACTGCCACATAAACAGCACTAAAACGGCCATGAGACTAACTTCAAAGGTCTAAAAAAAGCGTAAGGACTTACCTGATGGTGGCCCGCCTTCCCCTGCTGACAGTTATCGTCCAGGAACACCGGAGGTTGGGTGGGTACCTGCCCGGGTATCCAGGGGAGGTGATTGTACCGGAGTCTCCGCTCAGTATGGCAGGATCCTGGC